TAGACTTTTATTATTATTCTTTTTTGAGGTAAGGACGTTTGTCCCTTACTCTCCAATAAAATGGCTCGCTTAGCAGAGAGAATTTATTTAGATCTCTTGTTTATACTGTGTGTCCACTGACCTTGCAAATATCTTCTCTTTTTTCTTGCGCACCCCTCCTCGCAACCCTTCATCTCGCTTGTGGCCACCGAAAAACCGCTAGGAAAGATAATGTATTACTAATTTTATTATTCTTTTATCATTTCCATTTTCAAGTTGATTCCTCTTCCCGTTCACCTGACCATCTATGGACGCCAATATAAGCAGATGTAAATTTTTCAAGATTTATTTCAATTTTCGTCTCGGTGAATATCAACTGCATTTGTATAGAAAAGAATCGAATGTTTCTGTTTGTAGTTAGATAATTTTTTCAATACTTTTTCGAGATGCATAACAGGGAGTGAATGTGTCTCAACGTGTGTGTTGTGAGGGGACTCTCTCTTTCTTGTCCTACTATCAGGGGTACGCCAGGGTACATACTATCGTTAGTTTATCGAATACTTGCTCATCCTGTCCTCTCCGAATGACACGTTTGTCAAAACAACTAGCGATGAGACAAGGTTCAGGGAGAATAGGATTCATGCCTTTCCTAGTAGGTTTGCCGCAAAGTGACACCCTTTACTTCTGTAGCTTAATTTTGAATAAAGCATTTTATTCGACCGATTGAAAAAATATTTGTTTTACAACTTAATCTTTGTCGATGCACTATATATATATATATATATACATACATATATATATATATATATATATATATATAATGATATTATTTGGTAATCCGTATGGATATTTCCAATATACACATACACAGACACACACACATATATATATACACACACACACACACACACACACACACACATATATATATATATATATATATATATATATATATATATATATATATATATATATATATCCAGTAAACAAACTGATTAAACATAGAATAGACTGGATAGTGAATGTCTTAAAACTCTTATTGATTCTTTTTTTACTTTATTTTCTAGTGTCGAATAAATCATTGGTAAAAACCGACTAAAAATCTTAAAACATTGCCGGGTTAAATCGAATACACTTTGTCCTTCTCTCTTAAGCACACACACACTCACACACAAACGCGTGCGAGCGCGCAAAGTATTTGCCGGTATATTTGGTGCACATTAAAAACAGCCCATAATATTGTCCTTATGAATATGGGACCGTCTATTGATGACCGAAATAATAGATATTAGATGAGTTACCATGTGTGGTAGTCTCCTAAATAACATTGTTCATCGTCTGTACTATAAGCCGGTAAGCGCGGTATAATATATACGTATGCGTGCGTGTGTGCTCTCTTAATGTATTTTATGAATTCCTTTTGCCGTGTAATTGTGTGTAGTAGGTTTGTGAGCGTACACACACACGCACACTGATCATTCACTATTTCGAGACTTCCGCATGTCAGAAAGGCCTTGCGTTAGATATGGCTTAACCAAATAAATGGCTTTAACATATTAAAAAGCTACATGGATTTTGTGTAACTAAACTATTGCTTTCATATTATCGATGAAATTATTTTATCAACGGACAATAAATTAAATTTTTCATCAGAAAATCAGTGATGGTCGGAGAGTTGGGTATCCCATATTTCATTTACGGAGTTTTCATGGGGCGGTCTTTTACCTAAACCCCCCCGCCTCCCCCGTCAGTAGACCGTTTCATTGTAGCAAACAATTATATATTGCAAAGGATTTTGGTTTCAAAATAAGTCACAAAAATGATCACAAAATTATTCCTGTAATTAGTTTTGTATTATGTAATATCCAAGGAGATTTATTTTTCCAAATTAATTAATTTATTTTCTGTTTTTTTTTTTTTTTGTTTTTTTTTTTTTTAAATTAGAAGGCCGAATTGAACTGTGATAAGGTGATATAAAACAAAACAAACCCCCCCCCCCCAAAAAAAACCCCAAAAAACAAAAAAAACATCAAGCCTATTGTCTTCCAAGACTGAACAGGTAGAGGGGCATATAGTAAGGATGGTTTTCACTTTGTTGTTAAACCTAATTGTGAAGATTCAATGCTTACACCGATAGCAAACTTTTACTTTTTTTTAACTACAGCGCAACATTGCAGCTATTGAGCACTGGGTAAGAATCAAAGTCCCTAGTAATAATTAAAAAAAAAAAAAAATTGTAAGCCGTTACTTTTTTGTAGGGATCCGGATATCCATTTGAATAATTGTTCGTCTGACCCTTAAGCGCTATGTTAAAACCCCGGATTTTACCCTCGTTATCAAGCGCAGCTTTTGCAAGTACACAGATGTAATGACTATATTTTATTTTTAAAAGTGGGCACATGCATCAAAACATTCTGGACCGAATATCAAAAGACGTAGCAGAAAGACCTAGATGAGACCCCAACCCTGGGAATCGAAAATATCACATATAAATTTTAAAGTCTAATTGCCTGGGGTCACGGCCGGTTAAATGGTGGAAGAGAGGAGGGAAATGATAGTCCTTTGAGAGATAATTCTTTCAAAAGTGTGTACACGCGCTTGTAAGGGGTTAAAAAAAAGGACTGGGTGGATGACAACCTGTGGGTGTCAAACTTAGGTGAGTGTTGAATTAACCATCCTTTCTTTTACCTGCTTTTGGGTAAGGTTTTATGCTTGCGATTGTTGATTGTAGTAGGTCATAGTCCGGCTAAAAAGAAGGCACATATGAATATATACACACGAGTATATATATATATATATATATATATATATATATATATATATATATATTAAATAGAAAAAAAAAGCCGCAAATGTTTTTGGTTATAATGTGTAATTTTTAAAATGTATATTATACATTATTTTCCATATTTTCTGCTACACGCGTTTCGGGTCTAATGACCTTCGTCAGGCGAAGAATGGTTATTTCTCTATGTTATTTAAATGAATTTTTCCTTATGTTTAAGCAGAAAAATATATATATATATATATATATATATATGCATATATATGTAGGTATATTTAAGCATATATATATATATATATATATAGCCATATATATATATATCATATATATATATGCATATATATGTAGTATATACATATATATATATATATATATATATATATATATATATATGTATATATATTTAAGCATATATATATATATATATATATATATATAGGTATATTTAAGCATATATATATATATGCATATATATGTATATATTTAGCATATATATATATATATATATATATATAAGCATATATATATATATATATATATATATATATATATATATATATATATATATATATATTTACATATATATATATATATATATATATATATATATATATATAGGTATATATATATATATATATATATATATATATATATATACATATATATATATATATATATATATATATATATATATATATATATGTGTGTAGGTATATTTAAGCATAGAAATTGTATGAACGTTTTAAATATCAATAAGTCCTTAGCTAAAAAGATAGTGAAATTTTCATTGCATATTGTTTGATCTCTGAGTAATAATCCACATAAAATTAGGTGCATTGACAATCGCCAGCACGATTGTGTTAAAAGTATGTTTTTAAATAACTGCTTTATTTCTGTTTTGTGTCTACGGATGTACCAATTTTTGAAAGTCTTTGTAGGTACCGAAAAACTTAAGTCTTGACACTGATGAGCTTATTATCAGTAAGATCTCTCGCTCGCTCTCTCACTCACTGTCATTCACAGACTCCCGAGTGGATGCTTCCTCGATCAATATAATCTTCTTAACCCTTTCATGTCTCAGATCAGCCATTATCTATCCTAAGTATCGCATAACATGTGAACCTTACACCTCTTTACCCCTTTACAACAATATCGTTCAGTAATCTCACACCCTAAACCTCTATATTAACAGTCTCTTGTGCCTTGTATTGGTTAAACAATAGTGTGTGTGTGTTGCAGAGAGAATGCTGGTGATAATCAGTGCTGTATATATAACAAGAGAACTAAAATTTATATTAATATTAGTACAACATATTTTTTATTATATATATATATATATATATATATATATATATATATATATATATATATATATAGATTATAGGAAAACAAAACTATAAATATATTTTTATATACTTAAATGTTATTTTTAGTGTATACTGATATTTGAGTAGACCCTCCGTTTATTTATTAAACAGTATATTTATTTCCATCTACCGGCTTGAATATCCGAGAAATCTTATTAGAGAAAAAATATGCGGTCTCCGGCGAGATTCGAACCTGGGTTTCCCTTAGTGGAAACCGTCATTAGATCTGACGTGCATTAACCGCTCGGCCACGGGATGCGTCGGTGACCAAACTACGTCAAATGTTGCCTTTTAAAGACAGACTTTTCACTGACTCCCGAAATAGACATATCTGCTCAGTTTTCTATCCTAACGTAAACAAAGCAATTTCTAAAAGAAAGGATGGATATATTATATATATATATATATATATATATATATATATATATATATACTTTATTCGAAAATTATAACATATTTATGTTATAAAATTATAAATGTTATAATTTTAGAATAAATTATATTTGCTCTACTCTATATTGAGCACTCTTTTAGGAATATTATTTCTTGGCTAGTGAATTTATTCCGTGTACACCAATCCTATACTTGTGTGTATATATATATATATATATATATATATAATACCATATAATGTATATATATATGTGTGTGTGTATATATATATATATATATATGTGTGTGTGTGTGTATGTTTGTCCGCTCGAACTTGTATGAAACAGTGCTCTGTTCTCTTAAATTTTCACCGCGGAGAGCCATGAAAGTTGCGGGTGTGCCTCTGGGGAACTGAAATCCCCCCTCCCCTTCGTTTCTTATTTTTATGCATTTAATTCTTTTACGCTAATCCAGACACTTCTGGTTAGCATTGTCTAATGGCAGACATAAATATACTGACACTGTAAAAACTTGGAGACGAACATATTAAATCTTTAATAAATAATAATTCCAGTCTACCTAAGGCTGTGGCCTGCAAGCCATGCATCAATTGCCCGATATTTTCTGACAAAATACTGAAATTAAGAAAGAATAATAATCAGAAGACATATTTCGATAGTCAGCGAGCAATCGGAAACTTTCTGGCCTAAAATGGTTACTCGACGTGACGGTATTTCTAACTGGGCCCCACCTGCAAGTTAATGCGTTGCTTTTTTTTCAAAACCTGTCACCATATCACCGACATTTGGCTATGATGTGTGTGCATGCTATACTCTTATCAGACTGAAAGTGATAATCGTTATATTGGGTTTCGTATATATGGAACCCCAGCGTCAGATTGTCGGAGTAATGCGCTCTCATATTATTCTTATTATTAGTAGTAGTAGTAGTGGTGGTGTAAATATTATATGTCATTTCATGGCGTAGGTGATCATGACTCTTCACATTATCTGTGAATTGACATACATTCTTGAGAAACATAAATAAGTGTTTTTCTTGCCTTCCGCATACTTTGAAATTTAAAGTATGTTTTGTTTTTTCATTAAAGAGATTGCCACCCAAGGATCGAGTGTCCGGTAAACTGTTTAACCGATAGTTGGGGGTAGAAGAGATTCATACCTTTTCTAAGGATATTTGTTCGAAAGTGAACACAACAAACTAGCCTGGAATTTGAACTCGGCTCGCTGACTGCAATACCCACGTCGATACCCGTTACACTATAGTGATTTTCCAAGCGTAGCTTAGATGTGGCACAAGGCCGAAAGCATAGTGCACCCAGTGAGGATCGAACTCACGATTCAGTTGTAATTGTTCTAGCGAGACACACCGCCTCAAGGTGCCCCGATACCAGTTACACTATATCAGTAGTAATCACGGTGGTTGTAGTAACAAGTAATCGTTACCATTATCTAACAAGTAAAGTTCAGAGTTAATAATTTAGCGGCGAAAAGAAAAAACCTGTTTCCATCTGCAGACCAGACGAGCTTGTTCTCAAATTGAGATTTTGTTTTGTTTTTCCTCTAACAAGAAATATTCCCCACCCCACAACTTTTTTAAAAAAAAAAAAACAACTTAGAAACGTGTATATCTCCTTCCTTTGTCTCTGTCTCTCTTTCAACTATCAATTCTTTCTATTCAATCTCTCCCCAGTCTTAATTTTCCATTTACGCTCCTCTTTTCTTTTATCCTTTTTCTCTCCCTTTCTTTATTTTTTCTTTCTCCTTTTGTTATTCCTTTCTTTTTTCTTTCTCTTCTTATTTTTTCCTTTCTTTCCTCTCTTCTTTTTCCTTTCTCTCGACTCTTCTTTTTCCTTTCTCTCGACTCTTCTTTTTCCTTTCTCTCGACTCTTCTTTATTCCTTTCTCTCGACTCTTCTTTATTCCTTTTCTCGACTCTTCTTTATTCCTTTCTCTCGACTCTTCTTTATTCCTTTCTCTCGACTCTTCTTTTTCCCGCTCTATCCTCTTCTTTATTCCTTTTTCTCCTCTATTCCTTTCTTTCCTCTTTTCTTTCTCACCACGTTCCGTTTTATCTCCTTCTTTTTTGTTCTCTCCTCTTCTTTTTCCGCTCTCTCGTCTATTTTCCCCCCGTTATCATCCCTTCTTTTTCCCCCGCTATCACCTCTTCTTTTTCCCCCGCTATCACCTCTTCTTTTTCCCCCGCTATCCCTCTTCTTTTCCCCGCTATCTCTTTTTCTTTCGCTCTACCCGATTTTCCATCTCTCTTTCATTCTCTCTTTCTTACCCCCGCCATTTTATCTCTTTCTCTCCACACTCACTCTCTTTCTCCTCGAGGCCCGCTATTAACCGCTCATCACCCCCTCCACCTTATATCCTCTCCTCTTTTTGTACTCTTCTCTTTCTTTATCTCTTTTCTACAATCCCCATCAAACTGTCTTTTTTTTCTATTTTTCACACACACACACACACACACACACACACACACACACACTTTAATAATTTTTTTTGAAAATTCAGGCCGGTAGGCGAAAAAATATATACTGTTTAATAAATAAACAGACCGTGTTCTCAGATATGAGTACGCACTAAAATTAACCTTTTAAGAGAGAAATATATATATATACATATATATATATATATATATATATATATATATATATATATATATATATATATATATATTTTTTATTAACTTGAATGGCAAAGTGTTCGTCAGTTGTTGTGTCGATCTCAGTCTGTTCATATTTCTTTTTGTTCCAAACTGAAACAAAGAATGAACAACGTTACGTTGTCAATATTCACCTTCGTTTACAGAAAATCGAACGAAATATAAAGAAATCAATCAACTTGAAGAGCTGGTAACAAAATGATCATATTGTATTTTTAATGAGGTCGACGTATAAAAGAAATGCTTCGGAAAAAAGTAAACACTTTTATCTGTACATATATCTACCTACATTGAAGTTAAAAAAAATCCTCCCCTATTTTATCTCTCTCCCTCCCCTATTTATCCCTCTCCCCTCCCCCCTATTTATCTCTCTTCACCCCTATTTCTCTCCTCCCCTATTCTCTCTCTCTCTCTCTCTCTCTCTCTCGGTTATTTGCTGTTTTTTTTACCTCTCTCAATCTCTCTTGTCTTTCTTTATCTGTAAAAAGTGGTGTAGTCAATACGAAATCCAAGTGAGTTACTGAGGTGATTTATTTATTTATTTATTTATATATATATATATATATATATATATATATATATATATATATATATTTTTTTTTTTTGATATCGAGTCTCTCGATTTTCAGATTTTTGTTGTTGCCCTCATGCGCTCTCACTCTCTTACTCTCTCTCTCTTTCCTTTTACTTTTTCTCTTTCTTGTTCTCCCACTTTTTCTCTCTTCCTCTCTGTCTATCCTTTTCCCATCGTTTGTTCGCTTCTTGAAATTACACTTAAACTTGCTTTTATTTTCTCCCTGCATTCTACGTCACACCCTCACATATAAACAACCATGGTGAAAAATGAATTCATCTATGTTTATTATGTGTGTATAATTTCTGAAATACATTCTCTCTCTTTCTTTCTCTCCCTCTCTCTCTCGCGAACACACACACACACACACACAATTTTTGACTTCATTTTTAGTAGATACCCATATTTAAGTAGATACTTCGTTTATTTTAAACAGTATATTTATTTTCGCCTACAGGCCTGAATTATCGAGAAAACTTATTAAAGAACACACACACACACACACACACACACACACACACATATATATATATATATATATATATAGCCAGAGGGCACATTTTCTTTATTAAGTCTTCTCGAGTACACAGGCCGTTATATGTAGTAAATACTGTTTACGGAGCGTCTACTTAAATACGGGTATCCAATAATGATTGAAATGATATGTATGATTAAAAAAATAGAAACCATTAATCGCTACATGAATGCAATCATGTTTCAAAACTTATGTACTTCCACATGCGGTAGTGGTGCTATATATATATATATATATATATATATATATATATATATATATATATAAAATATATTCTCGTTTTTTCATTAACTAAAGACAAATAATAGTCAATAATGCTAGAATATGGTAGAATACACATGACCCTCCCGTTTTACACTAAATTTTAATAAATAAAAAAAAAAGAAAATTGATCGTATTTACACGCTCCTAATGTCAACACTTATCATCAGACTGAAGACATTTAGTGCCCCTCCTGCGGAGAAACGCAATCTTTTTTTCATATTCTGAGTGTGCGAAACATATATGTACTCATCTTTAGTTAAGTAATATATAGATTATGGACACTGAAATATATTCATTCAGCGAAGGTAGATTTCTCAAAATACGACGACCTTCACATTTCTGAATTAAATTATTTATTTTTTATTATAATTTGTTTAAATTTTATATCATGAAAACAAAATTTACTTAAAATAAGAAAATTATCAAAATAATATATTAAATATATTTTAATATATTAAATCTACACACACACACACACACACACACACACATATATATATATATATATATATATATATATAGAGAGAGAGAGAGAGAGAGATATTTACAAACACACACACACTCTCTCTCTCTCTGTCTCTATATATATATATTTATATATTAAATCTGCAAACTCCTTTCGTCATTTTTTAATATTCTTCCATACATCTATTAAACATATATGCTACGTACACTGGGCAATGTCTTGTAAACCAGTCCTCACTGTGGCTCCACTATTTTGCCTTTCCGTTATTTTTCTTAAACCCTGTTCCACCATGTATTGTATGTTATACCCTGTTTTCGTCTATCCCTCCTTCCGTCAATCTGTCCTGTGAGTGTCAGATTTTCCAAGCCATCCTTCCTCATTATGTGCCTCAAAAGTTTCAACTCTGTTTCTGATGTTTCCTCTTTGTCTCCGTCCCTCTAAAACCTAGTCCCTGCTCATATGTTCGGTCCATGGTACCCTCAGCACCCTTCTGTAGAACTACATTTCTGATGCTTGAAGTCTCTTAATAGGTATAGATTTTAGCCTTAGTAGGTTATTAATATTAACTTATTATAATTGTTTCGTTTTCGGGTGTTATAGCCACATAACAGCCGTCGTATTTTCTGATTGTCTTTAGGTGTCAGCCGCATTCAGTAAACACCTTTTGGAATTTTGATACGAACTATTTATTCAGTCCAAGCAGGTAGACTGTTCCCGTTTCATTGTCCAGTGCTGGCGGGGTGGTGGTGTGGGAACTCTTATTATTTAAATATTTTCTTTACGTGCTGTATCAATTTCTGAAGAAAACCGAAGGGTACAACAATCGAAACGATATAATCTGAGGAGTCTAATTTCTTAGACTTAGATTTTTCTTCCTGGTGACCCTTTCAGCGGGCTTTCAGCTAGCTTGGCGGCGCCCATCTCCTCTCCAAGCTCATGACCAAAGACCAGGTAATATGGTGTTGGTTGCCCTCGGTACGTACACTAGACTCTCATGTTTTGAATTTAGGATGGTCCATCTCCTAGACTGGTTGTTACCCTAGGCTATAAGACCCAATTTGTCTTGTTATTTATCCGTAGCCAGTGTGTGTGTGGGGTGAGGGGTGAGCCATGGTGGAATCATACCTTTCCTAAGAGTATTAGCATACAATCCGAACCGCTATCGATTGTTCCGCGGTGTTAGTGAATTAAAGCGGTGGTTCGTTAATTTTGCGTCACAGTAATTGTGAGTTCAATCCCTGGGTTATGCGGTCTTAGGCTCAGTGGGAACAGGGAGTGCTAGACGTGGATAGTGGAATGAGAACAATCTACACTCGAAGATTAAATAAAGAGATTCAGTTCGAAATTCCCTGATGAAGGCTGAAGTGTATAGCGGCCGAAATGTGAGAGCAACAACAAACATTAGTCAAAATGCGAATAATGAGATATCTAGTATGGACACTTCAAAGTGGTGTACTGGTTAACAAGCTTGTCTCCCGCGATTAATTACAGCAGAGTAGTGAGTTCGATCCTCATTGGGTGCCGCACGCTTTCGGCCTTGTGCCACATTTAAGCTACGCTTAGAAAATCATTTGGGTACCTGGAGGTGGTGTAATGGTTAACAAGCTTGTCTCGCTAGAACATTTACGACTGAATAGTGAGTTCGATCTTCAAAAGGTACTCCATACTTTCGGCCTTGTGCCACATCTAAGATACGCTTGAAAGATTACTAGAACAGTAAGTAATAATGATAATTTCCTCGTCTTATGAGATTAGGCAGAAATTACCTAAACTTGCTTATGGATTCAATGTATTTAATTCGCTTTTAAATAATTCACTTAGGACTTGGCCTCGTATTACAAGATAAAATTGTCGATTTTCTAACCTGTGTTCTACGTGACGCATACACAATTCTCCTCCTGTGAGGTAATTTCTATACAAAAAAAAAAAAAAAAATAGAATCATCCAAGAAAAGTCAAGTAGAAAAAAAATTCTCTTCATTACTCACTTGTGTCTAATAATGGAAGAGTTTATTAGGCTCATCGTTTTTAAATGGAACTTGCTTTTCAGAAACCTGGTATTTTAACGCAGGCCAATTGTGAGATTCATAATACAATATAGCAATAAATAAAATATATATAAAAACAAAGGTCATAAGAACAAGCTTTGCCCACATATAGCAACAAACAAAAAACAACAAAAAAAAGATTCTTAGTAAACAGTCATATAATACATACCTAGTTACCTATCGAAATAGGCATATTTTATTTACGGACGGAGGCATTCTTTAAACCTGCAAAAAGAATTAGGATAAATAATGCAAACATTCTTTTTTTTTTATTATTATTACAAAACATTTACCTGTAAAGACGCGTCCACTATTTACACACACATTCACACGTATGTATATGTGTGTGTGTGTGTGTGTGTGTGTGTATATATATATATATATATATATATATATATATATATATATATGTGTGTGTGTGTTTTATATATGTGTGTGTGTGTTTATATGTGTGTGTGTGTGTTTATATATGTGTGTGTGTGTGTGTGTGTGTGTTTATATATGTGTGTGTGTTTATATATATGTGTGTGTGTGTGTGTTTTTATATATATATATATATATATATATATATATGTGTGAGTGTGTGTGTTTTATATATATATATATATATATATATATATGTGTGTGTGTGTGTGTTTATGTGTCTATATATATAGTGTATAAATATGTGTGTGTATATATATATATATATATATATATATATATATATATAGCAAATGAAAACTTATCACATTCTTCATGGAGAATTTCTCCATGATCGAACTGAGCCTTTTTCAGTACACTCGTGTGTTTACACACACATATATATATATATATATATAATACACTAATGTTCACCCAATAAAAGATGCAAGAGCCACCCAATCTAGAGGCTTACTCTATGGTGTTCGTGAGGTTATGTAGGAAGGAGAACGCATAACACAAGTCTTCTGGTCACGTGTGTGTTTGTGTTAATATGAATTTTGATTTAAATTATCGTTTTATTTTTTGGTTAATATTATCCATTGTATTAAGTGCAGGGACAAACAAGATTTATGAAATACATATATTTTTTAATATGTCCTTACCACACACACACACACACACACACACACATATATATATATATATATATATATATATATATATATCGTTTGCTCACATTTTTGGTTAGTTCTACTTGGACATCGGTTTAATTATTCATTCTCTTTAACCGGTTAATTTCTTTAGTACACCACCATTTGGTGTTTTTATATCTATCTATCTATATATATATATATATATATATATATATATATATATATATATATATATATATCACCCCACCAGTTTTGCTTAATATTCAAACGAACGCTTCTATTAGGTATTGATCACTGTTATTATCTATCTATATATATATATATATATATATATATATATATATATATATATATATAGAACTAGAAAGATATACATCAAATGTGTGTGTGTTTATTTACCCAATGAAATGTCCAGTGCGTTCAACGGTATATTGAATATACCCAGGGGGTGGCTTTCTCTAAATAAAAATATAACCTCGTACACAGGTTAGACAAGTAAGGTGTCTGAAAAATGCAGTACTAATTGACGCACCCGGTTGATATGTACACTCGCTGGGATTCATTACTCAAATAACATAGTAACTTTAAACGCAAGGCTACCTCCCAACGCGTACAGTTTAACCAACATGAAGTCACCACACACACACACACACACACACACAGATAAACACATACACAAATAAACACATACACAAATAAACACATGATATGTGGCAGCAACTTAGATTCGTGTACAGTAGCTGTCACAAACACACACACACACACAGATAAATACACACACACACACACACACAGATAAACACATACAC